TGGTCTTGAACTCCTGACCTCGTGATTCACCCGCCTTGGCCTTCCAAAGTCCTGGGATTACAGCCACTGCGCCCGGCCTGTTCTAGGTCTTAATTATGTAGCTCAACTTAACCTTTCTGGGATCTTTAGTTGTCCCTTTGTTTATTGGTTTATCCAGATTCTTGTGCCAAGTAGAGCTGGGTGTAGGTAACTCAGCAGACAGGAATTCTCTGTCAGAAGCAAAGGAGAGGAGAAAGACTATGAATATCATCCACATATGAATAATTACTGGTCCAGTTCCACAATAACACTGTTTACTCTTCTTACGTTTGTAGGCATATGAAGGAAAAACCAGAGCACTGGATATGTATGACCACGGAAAGGTTTAATCTGTGATTTATTTTTCCTCTTTTTCCTCCACCTTCCCTACAGCTGCTAGACATAGCAGGAAACCTCCTTGAAAGACCACTGGTAGCGAGGGATACATCTGATAAATACCTGGTCCTCATTCAAATGTTCAACAAAGATCTGGATGCAGTGAGGATGATCTACAGTCAGCATATCCAGGAGGAAGCAGAACTTGGTAGGCTTGTTGAAGGGGATTTTGATGAGGACATTCTGTTACTGGGAAGAAGCAATGCATTCCTCTTGTATTTGTTAAATGTCCATGTATGGATCCGTACATTCTCAAAAAAGAGCAAGCACAACCTTCTTGCTTGAAATTCCAGACCACCTTGGGTGACCGGGGAGCTCTCTGAACTGTGGCTTTCCCTGGTTCTGGGGCTGAGATTGGCAGGCTGACCCAGCGTGGTGCAGTCTTGACCGCCTCTGTTCAACTGAGACCTTGGCATCATGTATAAGTTGATCCTTGATCAGTGTTGCTACACTGACTAATCTTCAACACACCTCCATTCCAAAATAAATGTTTACATGCCTGAGAAAAGTTTCTTATGCCTTCTAATGCCATAGCAACCATGCTTCTGGTGGGAGGAACCAGCAGGAGCCCTCCAAAGGGCAGTACCATGCCAAGGCGTGATGTCTCCATTTTTATTATGATGCTTAGAGTCAAAACAAATGCATTTCAGTTTTGCATACATTTATTGAATCCTTAGTACATGCCAAACATGCCTGTGGGTATTGTATACTGTGGCAGGTCAAGGTAAGGGATAAAATAATTAATATGAAAAGATGGTTCTTTATAGAATGTTGAGTAATACTCGACTTGAGCTATAAAGAATGGTAACAAGCTGGGAGCGATGGGGTGAACCTCTAGTCCTAGTGACTCAGGAGGCTGAGGCGGGAGGATCACTTGAGTTCAGGAGCATGAGGCTGCCGAAGCTATGAGCCTGCCACTGCACTCTAGCCTGGGTGACAGAGCCAGACCCTGTCTCTCAAAATAAAATAAGAAACAAATAAAATACATTCCTATAGTCAATCGCACAGTGCGCTGCATATAGTGGGTGCTCAATAAGTGGTTATTGGACTGAATGGCCTCTGGCATCTGAAAAATGATGCCATTTGGAAGAAATAAATTATTGACTTCTTATGATGAAAAGAAAAGAAAGAGCAAGAGACTAAAACCCTTCCTTCCTCCCCAAGCAAAGATGCATTGTGGATGGGAGATTCGAGGGCAGGCTTAACAAGACAAGATGCATTGTGACTGGGAGGTTCGAGGGCAGGTTTATGTAAAAGGTAGTCTTGAGCTGAGCCCTAGAAGTTGGGAGATCAACAGTAAAGGAGAGGAGGCAAAGGCCTTCGGAGAAGACATGAGAGGATACGGAAGGTGATCAGCTGGGCCTGCCTATAGCCAAACAAGGTGTGCGGAAGACACCCCGTCAGCCACGGCATTTGGGGTCAGCTTGGGAAGTGCTCAGAGTGCTGGGTTAAGGAACTTGGAATCATGATCGAGGGTATGAGAAATTATCAAAGGCTTTTAAGTAGCTGAGCAACAGGATCACTCTGCTTGCTAGTAGGTTTCATGGTGAGGTCATCAAGAATCGCCTCCACTTGGAAGTCATTCCAAGAAAATCCACTGACCAAGCTTTATGTGGGATCATCCCCATGACTTCTTACGGTCAGATACAGAGTTTGAAAACTCAAATGTCTTCAGAAGCTATAGTGGTAACAAATGACCACGACCTTAGTACCTTAAAACACCACCACCTATCTTTCAGCTAACAATTCTTTTTTTTTTTAGATGGAGTCTGGCTCTATTGCCCAGGCTGGAGTGCAGTGGCACGCACGATCTCAGCTCATTGCAACGTCCACCTCCCCAGTTCAAGCGATTCTCCTGCCACAGCCTCCAGAGTAGCTGGGATTACAGGCACCTGCCACCACACCCGGCTAATTTTTTGTATTTTTAGTAGAGTCAGGGTTTCACCATGTTGGTCAGGCTGGTCTTGAGCTCCCGACCTCATGATCTGCCTGCTTCAGCCTCCCAAAGTGCTGGGATTACAGGCGTGAGCCACCACGCCCGGCCATCAGCTCACACTTCTGTAGGTCAGGAGTCCAGCATGGTGCATCTGGGTTCTCTACTCAGAGAGTATCCCAAAGCTGAAATCAAGGTGTCGGCCAGGCTGAGTTTGCATCTGGAGGCTCTGGAGGAAAAATCCACTGCCATCCTCCTTGCTGTTGGTAGAATCCAGTCCCTCATGACTATAGGAGTGAGGTCTCTATTTCCCGTTGGCTGTCAGTCAAGGGCCACTCTTAGCAACTAGAAGCCATCTGCATTCATTACCATATAGCCACCTCCATCTTCAAGCCAGCAACAGGACGTTAAATCCTCTCATGTATCAAATCTCTGCCTTCCTCTCCTGCCACCAGCCAGAGAAACCATTCTGCATTTAAGGCCTCACCTGATTAGGTCAGGCCCAGCCAGGGTCCTCTTCCTCCTGCCATATGACATACCATGACCACAGGAGTGAGGTCTCATCATAGCCACAGTTTCAACCCATGCTTAAAGGCTAGAGGATTATGCGAGGGTGAGGGTCATTGGGGGTCATCTTAGAGTTTTGCCTATCATGGAGGACAAGCCGGAAGTGAAAATCATGGATCTGGACTGAGCATGGTGACACCAGGGAAGGGTGGTACGCGTGGTGAAATAAAGGAAGTGGCCACTTCTCTAGTCGCTAGTTAGAAATGCCAGCGGATTCTTGCTAATCTTGTCATTTTCCCCAAGAAGCTGGGAAGTGAGATTCTTTAAAAAGTGAAACCTCACATTTGTTAAATCTTGACAACTAAATATAAGCAGACAAACCCAATGCCTGGGCTAACAGAAGCATATCTAATCTGTGTTGACTAGAGTCCAGGGCTTCATAATCCATATGGCCTGCCTCATTCATCATCTTACGGAATTCTCGCAGGAACCCTGGAAGTTAAGCAGGGAAGATATTATTCCCATTTTATGGATGTGAAAATTGAGACCCAGAGTGATTGAGTTGTCTGTTTAAGGGAGTGTTTTAACCCTGACTGTCCAATTAGAGTCATCTTGAGAGCTTTTAAAAAACACTCAGTGATGGCCGGGTGCAGCGGCTCACACCTGTAATCCCAGCACTTTGGGGGGTCGAGGTGGGTAGATCACCTGACATCAGGAGTTGGAGACCAGCCTGATCAATATGGTGAAACCCCATCTCTACTACAAATACAAAAATTAGCCAGGTGTGGTGGCGGGCACCTGTAATCCCAGCGACTTGGGAGGCTGAGACAGGAGAATCACCTGAACCTGGGAGGCAGAGGTTGCAGTGAGCCAAGATTGCACCACTGCACTCCAGCCTGGGCAACAAGAGTGAGACTCCTTGAAACACTCATGGCTGGGCCCCTCCCAGAGCAATGATATCAGAATAGCTTAGGCAGAGGACCCAGGTCCCCTGAGGCTGAGAGTGTTCATCTCAGGGTCATTCTTTCTTCCTGTTTATGTGCTCCCAGGGTGACTTTAGTCTGGAGATAATGAGGCAAAAGTGGAGGACCTGGCTGGAGGCATTTGCCGGGTGGAGAGGGCTGAGGTGCTCTAGACTCATTTCGGTCTGTCTGTGCCATGTCCCCAGGGTTCTCACCGGTGCACAAGAACATGCCCACCATGGCCGGCGGCCTCCGCTGGGCACAGGAGCTGAGGCAGCGCATCCAGGGTCCTTTTAGCAACTTTGGACGCATCACACACCCGTGAGTATTGTGTTCCTAAAAGACAGGTTTGTCTTGGGCTGCTGTTCCTGCTCTGGAATCCGAGTGTTGTAGAAATGCAGCCCGCTTAACGAAGGCGAGAAAATCACCTTCCTTTCTTTCCATTTCCAGCAAGGGATTAGACAGCTATTGGCCAAGCAGTCATGATATTGATGCATTTGGACTTACGGGCAGGGCCCTTGGTGTGAAGTGAGGTGTAACTGGCTGACTTCTTTTGCTCCGGGGGATTCATTTCTGGAGCCAGGGATTTTAAGCTCTGTGGAGTTCTTCCACACGTCTCCCTTTGATACCATGTCTCCTTGCTGCTGAGACCACTGGAAAATAATGAAGTATGAGGTCTCTGTCCATATTGGGACAACCCTGGGAAACCTGTTAAAGATGCAGGTTCCAGGGCCTCACCTGTCACTGGCTGAATCTGAATCTGGCGTGGGCTGGGAATCTGCCCCTTCAGCAAGCTCCTCCTCTGATTCTGATGGTGATCAGGTTTGGAAACCATCAGCTTGCTTCATAGCTGAGGTTAGAAGCTGAGATAGAAGCATCTCAGCTGCTAATTGTGATATTGTGTTTAAGACGCTGCCTGAGGAAAGGCAGTCTTTCTCTGATCCCTCTTTCTAGAAGACTTAATCTTGCTGAGAGCACACAGGTTTTGGAAAACACAACAGAAGGAAAGGAATCAAACTCTGGCCGTTGGACTCACAGGCATTTTGGAGTTAGGAAGAGCCTTAGAGACCCTCTGGTCTGGCCCAAGTGGGAAGACAACACCAGCAGAGGCCAGACGAAAGGATGGCCAGGGTGGGGTCTGCAGGGGGCCACCAACACCCCACTCCAGCATTGCCAAGCAGAAAAGCAGACCCAATGTGAGCAATCTCCTGACTGGTGGAGATAAGCTGGAAACTGGATTTTAGAGTTGGACATCCAATTTTCCAATGACCAAGGATTCCATTTTTTTCTCAAACTGCGCAGATCTAACAAAGCATGCCTGTGAGGCCGGTCTGCCCTGCAGGTGACCCATCTGCAACATCTGCTTGGGTCTGGGTGAGATCTTTGTTTTCAGATGAAGAAATGGAGGAAATGAAGAGAGAAGTGAGGTGACTTGCCCAAGGTCCTAGAGACAGCCAAAGAAAGAACTGGAAGAAATGCCTGGTTCTCCAGGCTCCTAATCCAGAATGCTTCCTGGGGACCCCCAGCCCTGGAAGTTTGGTGGGGAGTAGCTCTGAGCCCTCATGCATCTCAATCAAGCAGCAGAAGACAGAAGGGAGAAGACAGGTGAATGGGGTGGGGAGGGATGCCAGGGCTGCCCCTAGAACGTGGACTGCCGCAGCTGTCACAGGTCCGGTTCCCAGGAAGGAGACCTATGATGTGTGCAGGAATTTATAGAGAGCCTTTCAGGAATCGCACCCATGAGGGAGGGAGGGGGAACAGATTGGGCAGAGAGAAGTTGAGCTGCTGAGCTGTAAGAAAGTTGCAATGGGTGTCTCAGCCGGTCCTCCTCGGAGCTTGGGCCCTTCAGAGCTGTTCTGCCTCTGTACCGCCACATCAGCTGGTTGGATGTGGGCTTTCCTGGGGAGGGGCATGACCTTTGGGCCAGGCAGCTCTCTTTGGCCAAGGCTGTTCCCAAAGAGGGAGGCAGTGGTGCTTCCGCGGCAGCCAACACTCCTGGCTGGAGGGGACAGGGCGAGGCAGGGGTTGAAGCAGGGAGGTTTGGAGGGGTACGAGGGCTTGGTCCCAAGAGGGAATCTGGAAGGTACACAACAGAGACCTCTATAATTTCTGTGAAAACTCCCCCTTGTTTTAAAAATGAATTCAAATATTTATTACAGGCCAGGTGCAGTGGCTCACGCCTGGAATCCCAGCACTTTGGGAGGCCGAGGCGGGCAGATCACGAGGTCAGGAGATCGAGACCATCCTGGCCAACATGGTGAAACCCCATCTCTACTAAAAATACAAAAAATTAGCTAGGCATGGTGACAGATGCCTGTAATCCCAGCTACTCGGGAGGCTGAGGCAGGAGAATCGCTTGAATCCCGGAGGCAGAGGTTGCAGTGAGCCGAGATTGCACCATTGCACTCTGGCCTGAGAAACAAGAGTGAAACTCTGTCTCAAAAAAAAAAAAAGAAAGAAAGAAAGAGTGTATTCTGCTCTATAATAGGTATTGATTGGTTATTGAAAATGTTTTAGATTCCTCACCATGAAGTGACATGGAAACTGCAGGAATTTCACTGTTCTTATTCCTGTGACTTCCCACTCGGCCACACACCCATGGGAGAAGCCTCACTCTGCTCTGGCCTCATTCTTTTCTAGATACAAAACTGAGACCTGGGGTTGGGGCCTGTGGGGCTTGTGGAAATCACACAGCTTGGGAGGAGAAAGCACCCATTCGGGCTGAAGCACATTCCACCTCTCTTTGCTGCCTGGCAGATGCATCTGTCCTTTCATCACGGAAGTGAACTGAGTAATTGAGAGGGGAAAAATGCCAGCAAATTCATTGCTTTCTCTGCAGGCACTAGGGCTTCTGTAGAAAGCTCGAGGGATCTGGTGAAGAAATCCTACGTTGGGCCGGGAGCAGTGGCTCACGCCTGTAATCCCAGCACTTTGGGAGGCTGAGGCGGGCAGATCACGAGGTCAGGAGATCCAGACCATCCTGGCTAACACGGTGAAACCCCTTCTCTACTAAAAATACACAAAAATTAGCCAGGCGTGGTGGGGGATGCCTGTAGTCCCAGCTATTCAGGAGGCTGAGGCGGCAGAATGGTGTGAACCCGGGAGGCGAAGCTTGCAGTGAGCCGAGATTGCACCACTGCACTCCAGCCTGGGCAACAGAGCGAGACCCTGTCTCAAAAAAAAAAGAAAGAAATCATATGTTGGTTTAAAGAGCAAATGGATTAGTAAGCTGCCTCTTTGCCAGCAGGACAAACAGAAACAAACCTCCGCATAGTTAGTGTGAAGGTTTTGAAGAATTAAAGATACTTCACCAATTTTTTCCAGGAGCTGGACTTTCATTAGTGTTGCAGCAAGTGTCAAAACCAGTGGGTAACGGTACCTCGAGCCACACTCTCGTCTGTGGTCCTTAGCATTCCTGCAGAAGCCTCCGTGTGTGTGTGTGTGTGTGTCTGTGTGCACTTGTGTTTACGCATGTTATATGTACATGCATGTGCACTGTCACATATGTGCATTACATGCGCACATGTTTCAGGGGTAAGAGCTGGGAGGGACCCTCATGTAAAAACGCGAAGAAGTGGTAGTGTTTCGGATCACGTGTTCTAGATGGATTTCAGAAAAGGAGAAACACATATATTTAAATATATAAAAATCATTTTAATATACATGTACCTACATAGATATTTTCCTGGCATATAGTGTTATAGACAATCATGTATCACTTACACAATGGGGTTATGTTCTGAGAAATATATCCTTAGGCAATTTCATCATTATGTGAATATCATAGAGTGTATTTTCACAAACCTATGTCTATGGTCTAGCGTATTGCTCCTAGGGTACAAATGAGCTATGGTCTAGCGTATCCTAGGAACAATACGTGCTATGATGAATATGCTGTATGGTCTAATGTATCACTCCCAGGCTACAAACCTGTGCAGCGTGTGACTGTCCTGAGTATTACAGGCAATTGTAGCACTATGGTAAGTGTTCGTGTATCTAAACATATCTGAACATAGAAAAAGTACAGCAAAACATAAAGTATAAAAGACAAAAAATGGTACACTTGTGTAGGACACTTACCATGAATGGAGCTCGCAGGACTGGAAGTTGCTGTAGGTGAGTGAATGCGAAGGCCTAGGACATTACTGTACACTCTTACACAATTGGCGGCACAGTAGGTTTGTTTACACCAGCATCACCCCCGGCATGGGAGTAATGCCTCGCACCATGTCAATAGGCAATAGGAATTTTTCAGCATCACTAAAGTCTTACGGGACCGCTGTCATACACACATATATATATTGACCAGAATGTCATTATGTGGTGCATGACTGTATATAACATTGATGGTCTTAAATACAGACAATTATGGCACCTAGAATTTTTTCATATCTCAATTTCCCTTTTATTCAGGTTTTTGAAGGACCTCACATACCTGGTGCGTGACTGGCCCAGCTAGGTGAGGGTGCTGGCGGAGCTGCGGGCAGGAAACTCTTGACACTTGCAGAGCTGCCTGCATTTCAGGAAGTGCAGATGCCCTCTAGTGGCCAGAGTAAGATGTTCGGGAAGAAGAAGGGCTCTTTCAGGGCTGTTTGGAAACCAGCCAAGGAGCTATTCACGCTCTTCCTTGGAGGCTGCAGTTTGTTCCTCGAATAATTATTTTAACTTCTTCTAATTCTGTGTCACTTTTTCTCTTTTGTACGAGTAGTTGCATGGAATCTGCAGAAGGAAAGCGAATGAAACAAAAATATGAAGATACGCTCTCACTGCTAGAAAAGTAAGCAACTTCTGGGATTGTGTGGGTCTGCAAATTGCACAACCTCCACGCTGCCTTCTGCAGCTCTGAGTTTATGCAGATTCCTCAGTGGCTCTGAAGTATCGCTCTCTGTTTTATGTTATAACCGCGATATTTGTGAGTACGGTATTTCCGGGTTGCACACACATAGGTCTCTGGGGAATTCAGCTCTATTCTGGAAATAAATACTTTTCCAGTGCAGTTTTGCTGGGCGTGTGAACTAGAGCTAGGAGTAGGATGCTACTCACGGAACTCCAAGATGGGAGTCACGGAAAACTGCAACAGCTGCTTCCTCAGCAGAAGCAACAGTGCATGCTGCACAAAGAGACAATGAGTTTTAAAAAGTACTTCCTGCATCGTTTTATGGAGAAAGCGTAAGCGTGAGAATTTTATATGACTTCAAAGTTGTTCCCGCTTTAAAGCTGAGTAAGTCTTTCGGGGGCTCAGGGTCTAGAAACAGCCACTGTTTTGCCTTCTCCTTCTGCCATTTGTTCTTTCTCCCGGTTCAGGAGGGAAGAATGGTGGCTCTTGCGATTATGATGTGCCTATACTTAGCATTGTTCCAGACGGATTAATTAACAGCACCTCTACCTGCCAAGTAACACACATTCCACCCCTTTTACCTCCAAAATAACTTCAAGTCCATCCACTCCTCTGTCTCCACCAGCAGCATCTTCACAATAGACTAGAACTTCTCCAGGCCAAACTGCTGCAGTGGCTTCCTAACAGTCATTGCTGCCGCCACATCTGTCCCCCTGAGTACCCACATTGTTACCAAATCCAATAATGTCACCATAGCCACCACCAGCTGGGAGGCCTTGCAGTGGTTCTCACAGCCTCCTTAACATGACATGAAGAGTCTTCCCTAAGGTGGTCCTTGCCTCCTTACCACCACCTCCAGCCTCTGCCATGCTCTGTAATCCTTGTTTCAAGCATACAGTTTCAAGGGTGCTGTTTCTCACCTCTACCGTTTGGCCATGCCAGGAATGCTCACTCTCCCTTTGCCACCCAACCTCTGGCTATCCTGAGACTCAGGCAAGCGTCCGTTCATCACTTCTCCTATGAAACTTTCCCTGACATTCTCCTTATCATCCCCAGCCCTCCGCCGCTGCCATTAGGTGTCTGATTTCCTGTACATTTCTTTCTTTCTTTCTCTCTCTCTCTTTCTTTCCCCTTCCTTCCTTTCCCTTCCTTCCTTCCTTCTTTTCCTTCCTCTTTCTCTCTCCCTCCCTCTCTCTCTCTCTCTTTCTTTCTTTCTTTCTTTTCTTTCGAGTTTCACTCTTGTTGCCCAGGCTGGAGTGCAATGGCATGATCTCTGCTCACTACAACCTGCCTCCCAAGTTCAAGTGATTCTCCTGCCTCAGCCTCCCAAGTAGCTGACATTACAGGCATGAGCCACCACACCCAGCTAATTTTTTTTTTTTTTTTTTTTGAGTAGAGACGGGGTTTCTCCATGTTGGTCAGGCTGGTCTCGAACTCCTGACCTCAGGTGATCCACCTGCCTCGGCCTCCCAAAGTGTTGGGATTACAGCTGTACATTTGTTTAGGATTGCACTTGCTACACTGTGTCAGGGTGATCTGCTCGCCTGCGATCCCCACCATTAACTGCCTTCACTGTCAGGTACTCATCCATCATTTTTATCCCCCAAGCCCAGCACATGGTAGGTGTTGTCCGTGTGTAATTACTAAATGATGAACGTCCATGAGCTGCATAAAGATTAGTGTGAGAGCAAATCTTCCCCAGTAACTTCTTCCAACATTTACTGAGACTAATCACAACTTCCTTATCCCCCCAAAAGATCTCATGGGGTCTTTCTTCTCTTTTGTGATTTAAGCGATGCTACCTTTAGAAATCTGTGGTTACAGCCGGGCATGGTGGCTCAAGCGTGTAATCCCAGCACTTTGGAAGGCCGAGGCAGGCAGATCACCTGAGGTCAGGAGTTCGAGACCAGCCTGAACAACATGGAGAAACCCCGTTTCTATTAAAAATACAAAATTAGCCAGATGTGATGGCGCATGCCTGTAATCCCAGCTACTCAGGGGGCTGAGGCAGGAGAATCGCTTGAACCTGGGAGGCGGAGGTTGCAGTGAGCCGAGATCACACCGTTGCACTCCAGCCTGGGTGGCAAGAGTGAAACTCTGTCTTGAAAAGAAAGAAAAAGAGAGAGGAAGGGAGGAAGGGAGGGAGGGAGGGAAGGAGGGAGGAAGGGAGAGAGGGAGAGAGAAAGAAAGGAAGAGAGAGAGAGAAAAAGAAAGAGAGAAAGAAAAAAAAGAAAGAAAGAAGAAAAGAAAGAAAGGAAGAAAGAAAGAAAGAAATTTGTGGTTACTCGCAGAAGCTGACCCAGTCTGGCTGGGTCAATGACTAGTAGTATCTTCAATTCATGTTAAACACAGATTATGACCAGGCACTGGGGAGCTGGGAGGAGGGGGCTTATGAGGTGGCTGTTGTCTCTGACCCTCGCAGGTATGAGACAAGACTTTATGAGGACTGGTGCCGGACAGTATCAGAGAAGTCACAGTACAATCTTTCCCAACCACTTCTGAAACGTGACCCAGAGACGAAGGAGATCACTGTCAACTTTAACCCACAGGTTAGTCGGCTGACAGTAGCTCTCTTTTGGGTGCCTGAAGAGTTTCTTTGAATTCTGCTGATTTTGAAGGCATAAAGACTTTTTCTTTTGAGACGGAGTTTCACTCTTGTCGCCCAGGCTGGAGTGCAGTGGCACGATCTCAGCTCACTACAACCCCGCCTCCCGGGTTCGAGTGATTCTCCTGCCTCAGCCTCCCAGCATAAAGACTTTTCATAAGACCATGCAAAAGATGCTCAAAATACTTTGTACCCTGGATTTCTTTTCTGGGATGAATCCTGGAGCGTAGTGTTTTATTAAGTGGCCCATGTTCACATTTTTCACTAGGGTTGCTCAATATATTTGCTTTGACTTTGCACAACAGGAAACACTACAAAAGATCACCAATCATGTAGTAACAAACATAGCCCACTGGGCCTACCCTGAATATTTACCATGCCTGAAGGCCATTGACTAGATGCTGGAGGGCCAACCAAGGGCATATAAGACTTGGCTCCTGCCCTCAAGGAACCCACAGTCTAGTTGGGGGTCACAACCTTAACATTCAAAATTGTATCTTCACTAGATGGCATATGGTAAATCCCAGAGGAGTGGCTTTGGAAATAAGACTCTAGATTAGTGGTTCTCAACTGGTGGTGATTTTGTCCTCGTGGAAACATTTTTGTTTGTCAAACTAGGTGGAATTGCCAATGGCATTTAGTGGATAGATACCAGGGACACTGCTAAATATCCTGCAATACACAGGAAAGTGTACCATAACAGTCCAAAAATGTCAATAGTGCTGAGGTTGAGAAACTGTTTTAGATGATCAGAAGGGTAGAAGACCAGTGGGGACCACAGTAGCCACAGAAAGTTTAATGCTGAAGAAAAATGATAACTAAAGGTTAGTTTGTATCAAAAATAATATTACTCAGGTTGAAAAAAACGGTATTGGTCACACTAAACTAAAAGAAGTCACCTACATCTGCCTTGATGGCATGTGCTCCAGAAATGCACTATAGATTGAGCTGAAAACCAAGCTGATGGCATATTGGCATCTTTCAAGAAAATTGCAGTTTAAGTGAAACATCGCTTCCTCCTCTGCAATCAGTCAACAAGGAATATAGAAAATTCATTTCTTCACTTTGGCAAGACATGAGTCTGTTTAACTTACTGAACCCCTTGAATCAATTTCATTGGCATTCACTGTGAGCAATATTGAATATTAAATGCCTAAAGAGATGAATATCTGGATTACCAAGTAGGCCCACAGTCTCCATATTGTAATATAGTAATTAAGCCCTTGAGATAAATCCTTGCTATAAGATATATTACTATATCATAATTAAGTCCTTGGTATATAACCATACTTAGTCCTGCATTGAAGATGGACCAGCCTCTATATACTCCAAGGACAAGGACCTTATCTGCCTTAATGTGTAACACATAGGGCGCACTTTATAGATGTTTGCAGGCCATAGAAGGGAAAGGAGGGAAGCAAGAGGAAAAAGGTAGGGGAGGAATAAATATTAATACCTAAACTATAATGTGAGTTGATGGAGGACAGTTACAAGCTTAACAAGTCAAAGAAGCACACAGTCACCCCTTGACATACAACTTCAAGCAATGTGGCCAAAGCTGGGCTATTAAGAATGAACAGTGACACACTTCTCGGTCTAGAGGGACATGATCAGAAATTTGCCCTTCTGGGGACAAGATAAGAATCGTATAGGTTAATTTATTCAAATTTATGTGAATCATTTAAATTATTTTAAATGTCTTATTGTTGGACATTTACATTATTTTACTGTTTCATCAGTCTGTATTTCTTGGATTCTAGGAAGCCTCTTTTTACATATTTATATCTCTGAAATTGGCATGTTTGTAGTTTAATAGACTGCATGTTTTTCTTTTTTCTTTTGTTGCATATAAAATAATAGTGAATCTTACAACGGATGACATCTTAAATTGGATAAAGCATGGTATAAATAATGCTACAACAAATATCCCTAGTTTTTATTGTATGCATTCTTGATTATTTCTTCAGGATAACAGTCCAGAAATGCAAATTCTGGGCCAAAGGGCATTCACATTTTGAGACTTTTCATGTATACTATCAACTTGTTCTTTAGAAAGATGGAACTCAGTCATTTTCCTGCCAACAAGATATTGTTCATTTCTTCAAATAGTTTCCAGACTGTTCAACGAAAAAAAAAAAAACCTCAATGTTGTTCCATTTGTGTTTATTTAATTACTAGCAAATTTGAATTTTTATCATGTGTTCATTACTCATGTATATTTATTCTTCTTTGAATTGCTTGTTCATGTCCTTTGCCCATTTGCTAGCAGAAGTGCCCTCTCTTCCTGTGAATTTGTTAGGATACTCAGGAAATATGTGACAGATACTAAGAAATCTGATCCAAAAATTTTGCCAGTTTAAATGGCCAAATATGTTGGCCATTTTACGTTGATATTTTATGCCCCAAAATTTTTATGTTTTATTTTGTGGTTTTATGTTTGGAACGACTTTCTCTACTTCCCTATTATATTAATAGCCCCAGATCTTTCCTTTTAGTTATTTTCCTTTCACTTTTTATAGTTAAATTTTTAGTATCTGTCTTGAGCTTACTTCTAAGAAAACTAGAAGACTGAGCCCATTTCCCCACAAAATGGTTAGCATTTGTCTGATTGCTGACTAGGGTTTGCCCACTCGCAATAAAGAATTGGCCCAGAGCACTGGAAGGAGAGCTAGGAGCCGGGTGTCTTTATATGAGGGGGAGATAGGGAGAACCTGGGGCCATCTGTTTCATCACCTGTACCTATGCCCGTCAGTCCTCATGGGTTCAGATAGGAACATCAATAAATAAGGAAGGATGAAGAAGAGGTGCATGGAAACCCTGTTGTTTCATTGGACTCTATCTACTTGGTTTCTCACTTCTTCAGTTGCTGCTAAATTTGGAACCCCACAGAAGTTCGGAGCAGCCTGGATGAGTTCCATTTCCGGAACCCCTAGCATGTTAAGACACAAGGAAATGCCAGCAGAGGGTTACGGAAGTTGTGGGGTATTCCAAATGATTACATTGAATAACTAAAGTTTCATTATGGGCACCTCCTCTCAATCCTGCCAGCGTCTCACTATGACTCTTTCATTTGGAGAGAATGCCAGAAGTCTGAACTTGAGGCTTCTCATGAATGTTGGTAGCCCAGGCCAGATGATTCTCCTCCTTTAGACCACCACCACCCTTGATCAGGAACTGGCTGGGCCAGCATAAGCCCATCATTTCCGCAGCCACGTTGCCCAAAGCACAGAAGGCAGAGCCCTCCCCTGCTATCACTCTTGCCTCTGTTCTCAGGTTTTCCTCTTCTTTATGATCTACAGATTTAGGAGCCTTGTGTCTGTCGGAGACATCTTCCTTCTGCCTGATACTTGATTTTCCTTTTCTGAGACTAGATTTAAGAAACTGATAGGAGCAGAACTTAAGAAGAGACCCAGAAGATCTTTGGGCCTCCTGGGATTGTCCAGTCCTTGACCAATGCTGCAGATTATTCATTGTCACTGAACGACAGACACTTGTGTTGCTTCTTTTCTCCAGCTGCTTTCAGTGCTGAAAGAAATGAGCTATCTTGAAGCCAGAGAGATGACACACATCCCTGAGACAGCAGCAGCCATGTTCTCCTCCAGGGATTTCTATCGGCAGCTTGTGGCTAATTTGGAGTTGATGGCAAATTGGTACAATAAGGTTATGAAAACTCTGCTGGAGGTGGAATTTCCGTTAGTGGAGGAAGAGCTGCAAAATATTGATCTCCGCCTCAGAGCAGCAGAGGAGACTTTGAACTGGAAAACAGAAGGTAACAGGGCACCATCTGAAGTCTGACAAAAACATGGAGATTCGAGGATCTAATAAAGTTCATAGAACCTCCAATTATTCCCTGGCAATCTTATTTGGGTTTGAAACATAAGTCTGTCTTCTCCTTTGACACATATCCAAGCAGAGAAGGCAAAAAGAGTTGGTATTCCTTTTCTTTCTTCTCTATGGATATAGTTGGTAAATTTAGAAAACCTTGCTGCCGTGCACATTGGGAGGCTCAGAGGTTGCATAAGATCTCCTACAGTCTCCAGCATACATTGGGTGCTCCACGAGTGAGAGCTCTTACTATATTATCTTTGTTATTTAATTTTCTTAACTAGATTGTAAACATCTTAAAGCAGTATGCATTGACTTCTCTGGTATCTCTCAATTCAATATACTTTCATTGGCTGATTAATACGTGCAGGATACTGTGTGACAAACTAGAGAGATTTGAGGTGTATGGGACATGGTCTCTACCCTCAAAAAGCTCACATTTAGTGGGGACAACAGACAGATATACAACCTAAGTTATACGGAGCCACATGATGACTTTCATGAAAAGCCATCATAGCGTTAAAGTGTGACCAATCACAGGAGAGGGATTCACAGGACAGAATCACAGGAGGGAATCACAGGGGAGGGAGATTAATTCGAATTAGGGTCCTCAGAAGGGTTAAAGTTTGAAAAAAAAAAAAAAGATTACAGTTGATTCATGAAAGTCTTAGAATGCCATATTAAACAAGTTAGAACTTTAGTTCATGTGCAAGAGGAAAAGACAGTTTCAAAATTTAACATGATGCAAGTGCTTAAAACATGAAAAGAAAGATTAACCCAGATAAGGTCATCAAGTCTCACTGGTATTTGGATATAAAATTGTATTCCCTAGCAGCTGTGCCAACTTTTGTGTGCTTGGTAAGTAAGCATTACCCCTTTCTCTTCCTCCATAATCAGGATCATGGTAAAGGTTGTCTTTTTAATACAACTAGGAGGGAGAATATTCTGATGATAATGAAGTTACCTGTATAGAAAAGTCTTGTAACACTCGCAAGTATTAAATCCCTACATTTCATAGCAACTAGCCCTTTAGCTTTGCCACTGCAGGCTATTTCAATTAATTCTATTTCTTTTGAGGAGCAGGCGTTTGCGATTATGTCACTCAAATCACCAGTAGTATTCATGATCTTGAACAAAGAATTCAGAAAACTAAAGACAATGTGGAAGAGATCCAAAACATCATGAAAACATGGGTGGCTCCAATATTTAAGAGAAAAGATGGAAAAAGAGAATCCCTTCTTTCTCTGGATGATCAGCATGATCGAATGGAAAAATATTACAATCTCATCAAGGAATCTGGCCTTAAGATCCACACCCTTGTTCAGGTAATAACCCAGCCACTCAGGCGCACATACAGTAAGTTTAGGGAAAGCATCGAAAAATGTGTTTGTGTGCAATAAGTGATTTGGAGTATGAGGACAATCAATAAATGCAGTGTCTTCTGAAGTCAAGGATAGAAGTTTAAACTGATAGCAAAAGACTAAAGCTAATAGATAAGGCAAATGAAAAGTTGCCTTTTGGTATCCATGTGTTGAAATGATTACTATCTTCATGATGACAACACTTAATTGTCACATGACTTCGGTCTCACACCTGCCCCTAAGGGAAGAGAAGAAGATGACAAGGGCAGAATCCTAAATTATCCACTGCACTAACCACCCCCATCCCAGCTTGCCCACACAACCTAGTGTGGTCCTCCAGCATCATCCTTATAACCCAGCTCCGTAGAACCTAAAGAAATGAAAGGCTACCACAGTGTCCCTAACTGTGTGTGATAAGAGGAAAAAATGCAGAGTGCTGCACTTCAGGCAGTAAAGCTCTGCCCTGCATTAGTGGTCATGGAAACTTGATGTCCCTTCATCAAAGACCAAAGCTGCTTTGTGAACAATGGGAAAGGATTATAATATGGCCACCAGCTCCAGCCCTATGCAAGTAGCCACAGGGCAATGTCTGACAAGTTGACTTCTGTGGAAAGTCACAAGTGAATCACAGTTGTTATCTGTGGATTATCTGTGGTTTGAAGCACAATAAAAGTGTTGAGCCTTAAGCACTAATGATTGCTAGAATTAAGAGAAGGTAATTACCCCAATTTTGTCTTTGAGAGAGAAAGAGTCCCTCAATTTGATGGAATTTTTAACCCCTTCTGTCCCCACATCCAGTAAATCAGTAGCTGTTGTAGAACCCAGGCATCCACTTTTCATTCATCGTTCTTTCATCCGACTGTTCATTCATCCATTCATTCACCCATCCATCCATCAACTGTATTTCCATAGCTGTCCTGGGCACTATATCGAATACCAAGAAAATGTAAGATATAGTCCCCGCTTTGAAGTAGAAGAAAACCATCAGGCAAAAACAAGAAACTACTTAAGATTTTAAAAGTTTAAAATCTGGCCGGGCGCGATGGCTCATGCCTGTAATCCCAGCACTTTGGGAGGCCTAGGCGGGCGGATCATGAGGTCAGGAGATGGAGACCATCCTGGCTAACATGGTGAAACCCTGTCTTTACTAAAAATACAAAAAATTAGCCGGTGCGGTGGCAGGCGCCTGTAGTCCCAGCTACTTGGGAGGCTGAGGCAGGAGAATGGCGTGAACCCGGGAGGCAGAGGTTGCAGTGAGCCGAGATCGAGCGACTGCACTCCAGCCTGGGCGACGAACGAGACTCCATGTCAGGAAAAAAAAAAAAAAAAACTTTAAAATCTATCTATCATCAATCTATCATTTATGTATCTGTCTATTACTGTGATTATGTCACTCAAATCACCAGTAGTATTCATGATCTTGAACAAAGAATTCAGATCTGTCTATCACCTATCTATGTGATGACAAATGCTCAAATCCATGCTCTTGAAAGTCAGAATGAGAAAAAATTTAAACAATTAAATTGCCAAATCAGTGAGACAAGCACAGTGACCTAGAAAAAAACCACATATTGTAACATTTTAATTACCCAGGGGTCAACCAGAAAATAACCAAAAATACTTACCATAAAAGTCTCTAAAAGTTCAGACACTTTAATAATAATTCTTATTATAACACAATAATAGTAGTCGATATTTATCTAGTATCTACCATACACTACCACACAGTGCCAGGCACTGTCCTGAGCACTGTCCATTTCATTTAATTCTCATGAAAATCAGATACCTTCATTATTATTGATGAGAAAGCGAAGGCACAAAGAGGTTAAATTAATTGTCTATAGCTGCCCAGCTAACAGGAGGCAGAACTGTCTGACTGCAGCTCTGCATGTATCCGATATATTACACAACCTCCAGGGTAGTCATAAACATCCCTGAGGTCAAATACAAAGCTTAGTAATTAGGCCTTAAATAATGTTTGCCTTTTGATAATTTAAATATTTTTAGACAAAAACCACTGAACACAAACTCCACGAACAGAAGAAATTTTTATCTTTTTCTGCTAATTGGTACATAGGCACCCATCACCCAAGCAGTGTACACTGCACCCAGTGTGTAGTCTTTCACCCTCACCCCCTCCCACCCTTTCCCCTGAGTCCCCACAGTCCATTGTATCATTCTTACACCTTTGCCTTCTCATAGTTTAGCTTCCGCTTTTGAGTGAGAACATAAAATGTTTGGTTTTCCATTCCTGAGTTACTTCACTTAGAATAATGGTCTCCAATTCCATCCAGGTTGCTGCAAATGCCATTATTTCATTCCTTTTCATGGCTGAGTAGCATTCCATGGTGTGTGCATGTGTTGATTGATTGATAGAGAGAGAGAGAGAGAGATAGATAGATAGATAGATGATAAAAATTTAGAGAAAAGAAATACAATAATTTCTTCTGTTCGTGGAGCTTCTGTTCAGTGGTTTTTGTCTAAAAATATTTAAATTATCAAACCTTATTTAACATATATACACACACCATATACACACACATGCGCGTGCACGTGCGCGCACCGTGGAATGCTACTCAGTCATGAAAAGGAATGAAATAATAGCATTTGCAGCAACCTGGATGGAATTGGAGACTATTATTCTAAGTGAAGTAACTCAAGAATGGAAAACCAAACATTGTATGTTCTCACTCATAAGTGGGAGCTAAACTATGAGGAAGCAGAGGCATAAGAATGATTCAATGGACTTTGGGGACTCAGGGGAAAGGGTGGGAGGTGTGTGTGTGTGTGTGTGTGTGTGTGTGTGTTTATATACACACACATATATATGTGTATATATACATATACACACACACACGTATATATCACAATTTCTTTATCCACTCATTGATTGATGGGCATTTGGGCTGGTTCTGTATTTTTGCAATTGCAAATTGTAATGCTATAAACATGCCTGTGCCATCTCTTTCATATAATGACTTCTTTTCCTTTGGGTAGATACCCAGTAGTGGGATTGCTGGGTCAAATGGTAGTTCTACTTCTAGTTCTTTCATGAATCTCCACACTGTTTTTCATAGTGTTGTGCTAGTTTACATTCCCATCAGCAGTGTAAAAGTGTTCCCTTTTCATCACATCCACACCAACATCTATTAGTTTTTTATTTGTTTGATTATGGCCATTCATGCAGGAGTAAGGTGGTGTTGCATTGTGGTTTTGATTTGCATTTCCCTGATCATTAGTGATGTTGAGGATTTTTTCATATATTTGTTGGCCATTTGTTTATCGTCTTTTGAGAATTGTCTATTCACATCTTTAGCCCACTCTTTGATGGGATTGTTTGTTCTTTTCTTGCTGATTTGCTATAACTTGATTTTTAAAACAATGTACCCAGTAACTGTCTATGTCACTAATCCTTCTTTTATGATATCATGTGTAATGTTTAATTGTGTGGATGCACCAGGATTTGACTAACTCATCCCACTGTTGGATATTCGGGTACAGCTGGTTATTCATTTATTAAAGTTGTAGTGTAATATACATGCAGTACAATGTACAGACAAAAAGTATACATAGAGCTCAGTGAGTTTCACAAATGTATACACTCAGGTAACTACCACAATACAGAACATTTGCCGTCACCCTAGAAAGTTCACCTGTCCCTCTTTCCAGTCAATACATCTCCATTCTCCTGCCAGCCTCAATCCCTGATCAGCTTTTTGTCAATATAGAGCAGATTTGTCTTTTCCTATCAATGGAATTATGTAGCATGTTCTCTTTTGTGTCAGCCCTTTTTAAGTCTTAGCCTAGTGTTATTGAGATTTATCCATATTGTTGCATTTATTTCGAGTCTAATTCTTTTTATTGCTAGAATTCCATTGTATGAATATAACAGAATTTGTTCATCTAGTCCCCTAATGATGGTTTTTGAGTTATTTCTGGTTTCTGACTATTATAAATAAAGCTTGTGTGTACAGTCTGATATAAGTTATTCTATGGACATATGTTTTAATTTCTCTTGAGAACTGCAGGTTCATCAGTAGGCATATGTTTAATGTTTGTAAGTAATAGCCCAGCAGTTTTCAAAAGTGATTGTGTAATTTATACTCCCAGTGGCAATACAATAAAGTTCAGTTGCTCTACCACTTCACCAAATTGTGGGTTTGTGTTGTGGGTCTTTTAAATTTTTACCATTTTAGTCAGTGTGTGCTGGTATCTCACTGAAATTTTAATTTGTCTTTCTCTGAAGATTTATACTTTTGAATATTTTCTCATATGCTGATTGGCCAATTATATGAATTCTATAAAGTGTCTAAGTCTTTTTCTCATTTTAAATGGATTGTTTGTAGTTCTAGGAATCCTTTATAGCTTCTGGTTACACATCTTTTGACAGATACGTGTATTGTGAATATCTTCTCCAAATTGGTGGTTTACCTATTTTCTTCTTGATATCTTTTGATGAGAAACAGTTTTAAATTTTCATGTGATTTAAATGCGATTTCCCTTTTTTCCTCTTGTGGTTAGTACTTTTGAGTCCTAAGGAAACTAACAATCCCAAAGATTGCAAAGATATTGTTTTGTTTTTTCTTTCAGAAGCTTTACAGTTTTCACATTTTTATTCAGGAGTATCACTTGTGTTGAATTAATTTTTTTTTAGGAGGTTGTAGGAGTTGAACTCATTATTTTCCATATTAACATCTGATTGCTCCCATACCGTTAAAAATAACTTTCCCTTTTGAATTTTTTGGCATCTTTGTTGAAAATTGATCAATTGTATAAAATATTAATATAAAATATATATGTTAGAAAATACCAATGCACTTGTTCTTGATTATTGATCAAGAGAAAATCGATTATTAATAAGTCTGAAATCAGGTACTACATGTCCTGCAAACTTAGTTTTTCCTTTTCAACATCATTTTGACTAGTATAAGTTTTTTACATATCCACATAAATTTTAGATTCAG